TTGCCCCCAGAGCTGATGTCTGGGCCCAAGGTTAATGGATAACCTTGGAGGTGGGAGGCGCTCCTTCTTTGACTTACCACCCACACCCTGGCCTTCTCCTCTGTACTACCCATCCTTTTAGCAAATATTTCTCTGCTCTGCGCCGCGCCCCACAAATGGATCTTCTCCCTTCTTTCCATCTCTGACCCCAGGGTCCAACTGCCTTCATGGCTGCAGTCACCTCCTCACTGGTCTCCCTACTGGGCAAGACTCTTATCCTCTCTGGTCCATCCTCTGCTGAGCAGCCAGGGGGATCTTTTCAAAACACACACTGGTCAGCCCTTGCCTCTGCTTAAAATCCTGCGGTGGTTCCCCAGTACCGTGGGCATCAAGGCCACATTCCTTGATGAAGCCAAAAAACTCTGCCTGGTCGACCCTGCCCACTGCTTCAACCTCATCTCCCACCCTCCCCCCTTATCCCAGGAGCTCCAGCTACCCTATTCTCTCCCTGTTGTTCTACAGTATATGCCAAGTTGGGTCCTGCCTCAGGGCCTTTGCATGTGCTGTTTCCTTGGCTTGGAATGCTCTTTTTCTGGCTCTTTGTATTTCTGATTCCATTCTTTGGTTTCCTACTCAAATTCCCCCTTCTCAGAGAGGCCTCTCTGACCCTCTGTTGTGGACACTCAGGCTTCCCCTTTGGCACTGAAGGATTTGTTCCCCCAGCTGTTGAGAAGGGTGTCAGCTGTCAGCCCTCAGCTGTCAGCCGGCTCTGGAAACTGCCTGAGCCTCAGAGAGCCCCTCGTTCAAGGTCATGTCCCCTCCTCCCCCAGGCAGCCCACATCCAATAATGGGTTGACGTGGGCGGTATAAAGGCCCGGCCCCCACGCCCCAACTGGGAATATCCCAGCCTCCAAGTGCCCTGCGGGACCGACCGAGGTCTTCCTTAGACTGAAGCCCAACTTCCCCCCCTGCCCAATCCTGCTTCCTTCCCCTCCCCACCCCCCAATAGGTGTGGATCCCAAGGCGCTCCCCGTAAGTTTCCTGCCTGTAGTCAGAATCTGCTTCCTAGGGACGCAGCCTTCAACACCCCCGATCTAAAATAATCCCCTCTCGCCGGGCAATTCCTCATCCCATCCCTCTGTGTTAGTCTCTGTAGACGCAGGATTGCTACTCAAAGTGTCTTGTTCAGTGTTTACCATCTGTCTCCCCTACCGGACCTGGAGCTCTGTGGTGGCAGGGACTGGGCTGTCTTATTCACAGAGCTGTCCCTAACATCTGGCACTGGGTCTAGCCCCAGGAAGGGAGGTGGAAGGAGCGTGGAGGAGGGACAGAGCCTTCACACAGGGCTTGGGTGCAGGTGGACAGAGAAGGCTTCTTAGAAGACTGGGACCCATGAGATTGATCCGGAATGGATGGTAGAGAGGATGGGGAGTTATTGTAGGAAAGAGGAGAGGAGCTTGTGGTGTGATGGGGTGAATGCCTTGGCCGGAAGAAGGGTCCGCCGAAGGTGAGGCCAGCCAGGTGGGCCTCGAAGGCCATGGTGAGGCATGTGGATTTTCTCCCGAGAGCACTGGGGAGCCATGGCAGGTTCCGAGCAGGGGAAGGTCAGGTGTTTATGCTTTGGAAAGGGCTCTCTGGCTGCCTTGTATGGGAGACTGGAGGGGCCTGGGGCATCTGGACCAGGGCAGGGACCACAGAAAGGGCTGGAGGCAGGCCGCGGAGGGGTGAGGGTGAGGAGGCGGCTGGTGCCAGGCACCCCCTCCCGCCCTCCCAGGGCTCTCACAGGCCACGTGTAGCTCCAGGGTTTTGGAGAGCTCTGCGTCCTCGGCAGCGTCGTAGTCTTCCACCCTGCAGCCGTAGGTCCCGCTCTGGCTCCGCTGCACCCCTTCCAGGGTCAAGTTCCCCTCGAGATTTGTTTTTAGCACATCCTCCTGCTTGTCCTGGGGGACCAGGAATGAGGAACCTGGTTCAGGAGATGCCTTAGGCTGGCAGGGTCATGCTAGGTCAGGGGTCATCCAAGTCAGGCATCACGGTGGGTCAGGACTCTCTCAAATCAGAGGTCAGAGGTCCTGATAGCTCCTGGGTCACCGGACAGGTGCCCTGCTAAGCCAGGCACCACCCACGTGAAAGGTCAGAAGTTGGTGCAGGTGAGTATGTTGCAGAGGTCAGAGGTTGGCGGTTCCAAGGGAATGATGGGGTGAGTTACCTGAAGACGGAAAAACGTGTACTCCGGGTTGGGGCTGCCATCCCCCCGGCAGAACAGCTGGACAGAGTCACCCTCGCGAACCCAGCCTGCAGTAGTGGACGGGCTGCCCAACCAGAACTGCACGTGTTCCGTGGGATCTAAGGGAAAGGGCAGACTCATGAAAAGGGTCAACTGTAAAAGGTAGGGCTGGATTAAGGGAGAGAGGCCAGTGAAAGGTTAGAGGTTCTATCTTTCTTTCTTTTTTCTTTTTTTTTTTTGAGGTTCTATCTTTCAAGGTTCAGGTTCGCACTTATTCTGAGATCAGGGACCCGAGGTCAGAGGTTGAGATAGGCTGAGAGAACAGGTCAAGGGTCAGAGGTCGGTGTGAGTGACAGGTCAATGTGAGATTCAGGGGACCCAATGTGGTGTGAAAGGATGGGGCACAACGTTTAGTCATGAAACTCCGTGGGGTTCAGGGTGCTATGGGGGGCGTCAGAAGTCAGGGTGGGGCTCGTGCTACCATTTGAGCTCAGAGGTCAAAGGCCAGAAGCCAGTACGAACTGCACCACGAGCTAAGGGAGTGGAAGGTCAGAGGGCAGTGGCGGTTCATGGGTCTGCCTGGAGGGTCAGGCCACAGTGAGGTGTAGAGTCCAAGGTCAGGGCGGTCAGAGGCCGGCACGGACTCACAGTGCAGGGTGAGGTGGAAGGAAGGGCTGTCCAGGCGGCCGTGCCGGCCCGTGGGCAGGCGGTAGTGCACGGAGCAGTGGAAGCTGGCGTCCCGGTCGGCCTTGTGGAGCCGCAGGTAGAGGGTGCTGGTGAGAGACAGCAGGCCTGAGGCCTCCCGGACTGTGCGGCTGGTCATATAGCCCTCTGGGAGAGAGGGAGGGACGAGGGGGTCAGCCAGCCCGGCCCCGTTCCGCCGCAGCCCCCAGGGAGTCTAGCTGGGCTCCCGCGCGCTCACCGGAGTTCACCTCCATGGGCACCTCCAGGCGCTGCCCGTTCCGGTACCACGTGATCTGCGGGGCCGGGTTCCCATTGCGACTGTTGCAGGTGGCTATCTGGGGCAGACACAGGCCCGCAATGGGCTCGGAGCCAGGACCCTGAAGTCTGGGTCCCCCTCCCTTAGGGTTTCTGCCCAGCCAGATGCAGGAGTCCAGCTCCCAGCACCCCATTCCTCAGACTAGGAAGCCCAAGCCTCCAGCCCCTCCTGCCCTTAGGATGCAGGAGACCAGGTCCCCAGCCCCCTCCGCCCCCAGAACCCTAGAATCAAGGTGTGGCCCGAGGTACCTCCTGGGCGAAATCCTCCATCACAGACAGTGTCCCTCTGTTGGGGGAGACCTCGGTGGCCTCTGGTTTCGCTACGGGAGAGATGTCATGTGAGGAGCCCCTTCCCGGGGTTCTCACCGGCCTGCCCCTTCCCAGGGCAGCAAGTGGGGGGGGGCCCCGACACTCACCAAACACACTGAGCCTCGCGGTGGCCTCGGCGGTGCCCGCGGCCCCCGCCTTCACCAAGCACACGTAGTCCCGCTCGTCGCCCACCTGGGCCTCGGCCAGCACCAGACGGCCCCGGGAGTCCAGCTGGTATGGTGGGCTGCGGCTCTGGGAGTCGTGCACCTTGTCCTGGAGCTCAGTGCCGTGCAGCTCGGCTGAGGCCAGGCGGCGGCGGACCCCAGCGCGGTCGGCCTGTGGGTGGAGGAGCGCCTCAGCTGGGGGCTGCCCGGTCAGCCCGGCCCTCCCTCCTCGATGTTCCTCTCTTTCTGCTGCTCCGTGGATCTCTTTGCCTCACGTTCTCTCTCTCTCTCTCTGGTCCCTCTGTCCCTCTCTCCACCCCTCCTCCCACCCCTGCTCCCTGTCTGTTGTCACATTTTCCTCTCTCTGGCTCCCTCTTTCTCCATCTCCCTCTGTTCCCACCTGTCTCCCTCTCCCCTCTCTTTCCTTTTTCTCTTTGGTCCCACCCCCCAGGCTCTTGCTTTCTGGGTGTCTGCCTCTACATGTCCTCTCTCAAGAGCCAGCGCTCTGAGGGGTACGTCCTCATTCTAGCCTCGGCTGTGCCTGGACACCAGGGGACCCTGGAGAGGGCCTCCCCCTTGCTGCGCCTCCACGTCCCCACCTGCAAAATGGAAAGGCAGCTGGGTGGAGCTTCTAGGGGCCTTTGGGCTCTGATGAGGGAATGAACGTCTGCAGCCCCACTGCGCCCCCACTCTCAGGCTCCCCTCTGGCATCCCCTGGCCCCCAGCCAGCAGCACTCACCAGGAACCATTCCAGCACGAAATGGTCATGGGCCCCCAAAGGGGTGCAGTCCAGAGTGACAGGCTCCCCCCTCATCACCTCCACCAGAGGGGGCACAGACAGGCGCACCTCAGCCTTGGCACCTGCGGGAGGGCGACTGAGCTCTCTCCCACCACCACCAGTAGGTAGTCTTCCAGACACAGCCCCTCCTCCCCCAGGACCCAGGAGTCCAGGCCCCCAACCCTTCCTCCCTCAGCCCCAGCCCCTCCTCCCCCAGACCCAGGATCCAGACCCCCGGCCCCTCCCCCCTCAGACCCAAGATCCAGGCCCCCAGCCCCTCCTCCCCCAGACCCAGGATCCAGGCCCCCAACCCCTCCTCCCCCAGACCCAGGATCCAGGCCCCCCGCCCCCCCCCCCCCAGGACCCAGGAGTCCAGGTCCCCCGCCCCTCCTTCCCCAGGACCCAGGAGTCCAGGCCCCTGGCCCCTCCCCCAGGACCCAGCTCCTCTCTCCCTTCATCTGTCATCTCTGCGCCTCTGAGCTTCAGATTCCATCAGCATTTCTCTCCATCCCGCCCTTCACCTGCAGAACTAAGCGCTCCTCCCCTGGGCCACCCAGGGCCCCGGTGGCCTCCATTCAATCCTCTTGGGCTCAAATCATGTCTGTCCTTGCTTTTCTTACTATATCAAATGCCCCTCAAGCGCAGGGCTGGGTGGGCTCATTCCTTTGCCTCCAGCACTTTGCATAGGGCCTGGCACAGTGCTGTGGGATAACCGTCTCTCTCTCATCTTAGTCGCCGCCTCTGCAGGTGTGTCACTCCCCCTGGGTCTCCATCTCTTAGTTTCCCGGTCTCTGCGTCTCTCTCAGTCTCCATGTGGCCCGGCCCTGTCCCTGGCCCTTTCCCTCAGGAGTGGGAGGCTGGGGCTGGGGCTGGGCCGGAGCTGAGGCAGGGTGGGTGTGTGGGCGCGGTGAGGGGGACAGGGCTGGGCAGGTTTCAGGAATGTGGGAGGGACAGGCTGGCTCAGACCTGCCCGAGCCCCCTGCCCGCTCCTTGGCCCCTCTGACTCTTTGAGAGAGCAGTGTGTCACCTCAGAACAGTACAGGGTTGAGGGCCCGGATCCTGGGTCCCAAGGGAGAAGGGAGCTGAGGGCCGGCACTCCTGTCCCAGGATCCTGGCAGATAGAGCTGCTTGCATCGGGAAAGCAGGCTCTTTCACTCTCTGGGCTGGCATCCTGGCCTGAGCTCTCAATTCTTAGAAACTCCGGTCCCTTCCCCGCCCAGACTGGCCCAGCTCTGCCCCTGGGGACCCACTACTTGCCATGCTTGTGCCAGGGGCCTGGATTCCCAGGCACCTACCTGTGGCTCAGGCCTGCCCCCTGGGAGGGAGGTGGGACCACGCTGGTACCCTAGGCTGGGTCTGAGCGGCAGACAGCAAGGGCGGACGAAGAGATCTCTTTCTACCCCAGTTCTCTCATCTCTCTGTCCCTCTGCTGCCAGTGCCTCAGGGCCTCCTCCCCTCCTCCCACCACCATGCAGGTGTGTGGATTTTATTATCTGGGGCCTCCGGGAAGGGGGCACTGTCACTTGGAAACACTTGGTTCCGCTGTCAGGGCTGGTGCCCCAGCCCTTTCCCATGGAGGTGGAGGCGGGGCAGGCGGGTCCTTTTGAGTCTGGGCTCTGAAGCTACATGGGGGAGAACCCTCAAATGCACGTAACTTGTTGGTTTCTAGACACAGCGTCCCTGACCCCCTCAAAACTTGACAACTTTTGAGCGGGTAGATCTGTTTTGGTCTCTTCTGTGCCGGGGTAAGCTCCAGCCACTGAAAGCCTGGACCTCTGGGGGCAGATCCCAGGGTCTGAGTAGGGGAGGGAGAGGAGAGCCCGCGCTCTTGGGTCCCGCGACTTCTCAGGTCGCCTCTAATCCACTGCAGTGGATCCCCAGCCCCTCTTCCTGGCTGTCCCCATGTCTCTCACTGGGAGGGGCACCCCATGCTCCCATATCCCTCCTCCCTGGGGTCCCCAGGTTAGGCTTCCTGGGTTGGTAAAAGCCCCTCCCCTCTTCCCTTCCCGGGGTCCCCCAGGGGCCGCCCCTGAGTCGCGCCCTGCTCTCAGCCCGAGCCATACCTCGGTGCGCCCCCAGCAGAAGCGCGAGCACCAGCAGCCGCGGGCCCCTGCGCGCCCCGGCCCGGGCGTCCGGGGGCTCCATGTTCAAGGTGGCGGGTGGCGGCGGCGGGCGGCGGCGGCGGGCGCGGCGGCAGAGGAGGAAACAACTGAGCCCGGGCTGGGGCTCGGCGGCCGCAGGGCTGGAGAGAGGAGGCCCCGCCCCAGGTAGCCCCGCCCCGCCCCGCCCGGCCCCCCTCGTCCCTCCCAAACCCGGGCGCGGGGCCAGGACCTCCCACTGCCCGGAGACGACCTCCCAGCGCTCAGCCGGGAGCGGGGCTCCCTCCGCCCCCAGCCCGCGGGGTGTCAGGCTCAGGCTGCCCAGCGCCCGCGGCGGGTGCCCTGACCGACCAGTCCAGCCGGTGTCCCGAGCGGGGACCTCAATGGACAACCGCGGACCCTCTCTCTCCCCCTCAATCTGACCGGGGGACTCGTTCTCACCATGGCCGGTGGCCTGGGCTCGCCTCATCGTTTTGAAACAGCTGGTCCCGGTCCAACGAGTGGCCTGCACTGGCCTCCCCAGTCCAACCAGCAATCCCCAGCCTGACCAGAGGCCTAGAACGGCTTCTCCCAGTATGCCCCGTGAAGCCTCCCCAGTGGCCAGTGCGCCAGGCTGCTTTCCTGTCTGACCAGTGGCCTGGAACCCACCAGTTCAATCTCTTGTAACGAATGGTCTTCAAATCCCAGGTCTGCCCACGCCTCTGTGATAGATACTGGGGCCGTGGGGTGCACTTTCCTCCGCTCTCCTCCGTAGGGCCCTCCCTCTCTTCCCCCCATCCAGGGAATCCCAGGAATGCCACCCCCCCTTCCTCTCTCTTCCCTTCACTCCCTCCCAACTTTGGGGGGAGGGGAAGAGAATCCGGCTGGCAGTAGCAGGTGAGTGGGGGAGGGGAGGAGGCCAGGGCACCTGAGGGAAGGGATGAGCCCCTGCCATGGGTCAGAAGGAAGGGTCACAGGTCAGACTTGGGATCACAGATCAGACTGTGCACAGCTCCTCACAAACCAGGCCTGACTGGGACAAAATCCCTAGATGCTGGCTGGGGGATGGGGGTGAGATTTCACTGGTTACCTGGGAGAAGCTAGCCCTCAACACTGGTCAGAATAGGGGGCAGCTGGTCATGCTGGGAGAGGTTCCCCGGGCCTCTGATCAGCTGGGGGTGGGGTGGTCACCGGTCAGACACCAGGGAAGTCTTAGATTACAGGTCAGCCTCTGAGTTATTGGTTAGGCTGGTCAAGGCTACCTTGTCCATACAGGAGAGCAATTGTTATATTGGGAGAGGTGACCTTTTAGTATTAGCCGCACCATCCCCTCCTCCAGGAAGCCCTCTCTGCTCCCCTAGGCTGAGTCAGGGGCCTCCTCTGGGCTCCCCCACCCCAGCCCTGCACATTCTGGGTCATCTCTGTCTGGGGACAAGTCTGTCTCCCCCACTGGACCGGCAGCCGGTTAGGGGAGGGCCAGGGCTGTTTCGGTCACTGTTGTGTCCCCAACACCGCCCTGCAAAGGCCAGACTCGGAGCAGGCACTCAGGGAAGGCTTGCAAGGCTCAAACGCAGAAGCACACAGGCTCACGTGCAAACCCCACCCGCACTAGATCATCGCAGGACGCACGTGGAAACAACTCACGCGTAGACAAAAGTGCTCCCTGGGACAAGCTTACGCACAGTGACCCCAGGCACCCACTCCCCTGTTGCTCTGGCCCTGGCTCATGTACCTACTGCTTAGGACGCTAGGCGCCCTCTCATCAGCACCCTGCCTTCCACCTTCCTCAAGAGTCCGAGCAGCTGAGATTCTAGGTGAGGATTCTACGGAGTGTGGACGAAGGAGGGAAGTCATAAATACCAGCACGGTTCCTCGCAGACTTGCAGAAACTAGTACTGAAATATCATCTGCCTTTGTCCCCTACAATTTATTTCCACAAAACAGCCGGAGGGATCCCATTAAAATGCGAGTGAGCTGCTGTCGCTCTTCTGCTCAGCACCCTTCCACGGCTCCTGTCACTCTGAGTAGAAGCTGAAGTCCTCTCCGTGGCGCACAGGGTCCTAGATCTGGTCCTCTACTTCCGTGACCCCATCTGCCCCTCTCTTCCCCCTCGCTAGCTCTGTTCCTGCCACAGTGGTCTCTTTGCTTCCATGCTGTTCTTCCAACGCCAGGCGTGTTCCAGCCTCAGGGCCTTTGCACTTGCTCTTTCCTCTCCTGGGACATTCTTTCCTGCCATAGCTCCCTCCCTGACTTGCTTCAAATCTCTACTCTATCACCTTATCACAAAGCTTCCCTTGACCATCCTATCTCATTTAGCAACTCCTGCTATCCCAGCCCTTTCTCTCACTACATTTTTCCTTTGTAGCACTTATCACCCCCACATATTTATTTTTTGTTGTCTTGCACAGAAGCTCCAAGAGAACAGGAACTTTTTTTGGTTCACCACTATATCTCCAGTGCCTAGAACAGTGCTCGGCATGAGAAGAAGCTGAGAAAGTATTTGTGGAATCAATGAATTTTCCAATTCCATCCATGCTGTCCCATGTGTAGATACTTACACATTTTAATTTGGAGGGGCAATGTCTATTCCCCAATGATTCCAGACTTGCACTGAAAAATGTAACTACTGAAAGTTTGTGTTGATAAAAATATACATATCTTGTTCCCAGGAAGGTTCTGGGTCCCAGAAAGTTTCCGGGTTTGTTAAAGCATCAAAAATATGAAATGAGGGAATTCTCTGGTGGTCCAGTGGTTAGGACTCCGAGGTTTCACTGCTGAGGGCCCAGGTTCAATCCTTGGTTGGGGAACTAAGATCCCACAAGCCATGCAGCGTTGTCAAAAAAAAAGAAAGAAAGAAAGAAAGAAAGAAAGGATAGTGATGATTCGCGGGTTCGAGCCCTGGTCCAGGAAGATCCCACATGCCGCAGAGCAACTAAGCCCGTGCGCCACAACTACCGAGCCTGTGCTCTAGAGCCCGGGAGCCACAACTACTGAAGCCCGCGAGCCTAGAGCCCGTGCTCCGCAACAAAGAGAAGCCACCACAGTGAGAAGCCCACGCACTGCAACGAAGAGTAGCCCCCGCTCACCGCAACTAGAGAAAGCCCGCATGCAGAACGAGGAGCCAACTCAGCCAAAAATTTAAAAAAATTTAAAAAAAAGAGAACTTTTGGGGGAAGAGAATGTAAGTGTAGAGCAAAGGATACATACTGATGTTGAGTGTTCAAAGGGGTGGATGGTCATGGGCTTTTTGGAGGGAGGGTTGACTAGCATGTGCATCCCCTTCCCACATTGAAAAGAATCCCTGCCATCCGAAAGCCTGTTACCCTCTGTTGAAACCAGTAAGGACAAATGTTTCTTTCCTCCGTTTGCCTCCGTTGTAGCTCAGGTGACCTAAGTTTGGCGAATCCCGCTCTTACTTTGGAATCATGTGCTAGCGATGCCAAATGAACAGAGCCTGGCTAATCTATTACTGCTGTGGCAGCCGGGGCAGACTCTACTTTCCAAAGATGGCCGTGACAATAGCTCTCATCCCACACGCTCTTTTTTTTTTTTTTTAATTAATTAATTATTTTTAGTTTTGGCCGTGTTGGGTCTTTGTTGCTGCGTGCGGGCTTTTCTCTAGCTGCGGGGAGCGGGCTTCTCACTGCTGTGGCTTCTCTTTGTCGCGGAGCACGGGCTCTAGGCGCGCGGGCTTCAGTAGTTGTGGCACGCAGGCTCAGTAGCTGTGGCTCGCGGGCTCTAGAGCTCAGGCTCAGTAGTTGCGGTGCACGGGCTTAGTGGCTCCGCGGCATGTGGGATCTTCCTGGACCAGGGCTCGAACCCGTGTCCCCTGCATTGCCAGGCGGATTCCCAACCGCTGCGCCACCAGGGACGCCCCACACACACTTGTGAACAACCTGATCTTGACACTCTTTCCACTGAGAGATGGGGGTCTACGTCCCCTCCTCTCTGTGCAGTTTTGTGACTCCCATGTAACCATTAGAATGCGGCACGAAGCGACGCTCCGTGACTCCCAAGGTTGGGTAGAAAAAGCCACGTGGCGTCTGCCTGCTTCACTGGAATACTTTCTGTGAAGGCTTCAGCCACCATATAAGCAGTCGGACTACCCTGAGGCAGCCATGCTGTGGGGAAGTGCAAACTAGCAAGCGTGGAGAGAGGTCTGAGACCGCTGAGGGATGCCTGTCCAGCCCCCAGCTGCCCCGCTGCCAGCGCCACTTGATCGCACCCTGAGCCAGACCCCCCCCAAATCCTGAGCCCTTCCCCCAGTCCTGGCCCATTGCAACCATGATTACTGTTGTTCACCAATAAGTTTCAGTGTGATGTGTTCCACGTTAACAGCTAGCAGACACAGCCTGTTTCTGGGGCAGCAGAGGCAGAGAGATGACCAGGGTCCAGTGGTCACTGGGGCACCAGTGTATCCTCATCAGACGGGTTCTGTGGTGTGATCGTGGCTGGGCTCTGGGTGGAGGCCAGCTGTTCGTCGTGTTCTTGATCACTTTCCAATCCTGGCTCTCTAATCACTCCTGGGAATCTGAGCGATCCCGAGTCCTCTCAATCAATTCCCTCCCTGCCCCAGAGGTTTCTGTTGCTTGGAACTAAATCCATGACGCATGCGTCCATGCTCTGTTTACACTGAAATACCTTTTTCTCATCTTTTCAGACTCAGCTTAGACGTTCCCTCCTCCTGGAAGCCCTCCCTGACCTCCCAGGCTGGGTCAGCTGTCTGCTCCAGGCTCCTGCAGCCCCCCGGGCTGCCCTCGTCCCAGCTTTGCCCACTCTGTGTCACCACGGTCTGGAGACAGTTCTGTCTCCCCCACCAGACTGTGAGCCCCAGGAGGGCAGCGATTACTGCCACATGCCCAGCATTGCCCGGCCTGGGACTGGGCCCTGGGCAGGGGCTCAGGGGATGCCAGATTGTTTAAACTTAGGCAGAGGGATGGAAGAAGTTTCCCAAGAGGCATGGAGGAAAGAGAGAGCGATGAGAATGGATTGTGGGAATACTGGGTGTATAAATAACTCTCAAGGAAATGTGGGGTCTTTCTGCCTTGGATAACTGGGTTTGGGTCCGGGAATTTTTTTTTTTCCATGCTGGGGAAAGGGAGTTGAATGCCTGATTCTCTGAGAACTTGGGACTCTGGACTCCTAAGTCCTGAGGGCAGGACTCCTGGGTCTGAGAGGGGAGGGGTCTGGGAGTCTAGACTCCTGGATCCGGAGGAGCTGGGTCTCCCACTCTCAGCTCTTGGAACCCCAGACACTAGGGTTAAGCAGGTGGGGCTCAGACCCCAGGGACTGCCGTTCCCGACACCAAGCTGCCCCCTGGTGGCCCCTACGCTCCTTCTCCACAAACCAGAGGACAGACCCGGCTTGGCAGTTTATTTCCACTTCCCAAACCCCTTCCAGCCCCTGGGACTCCCTTTCGCAGCACATCTGGGTGCCCTGTGAGGTGGAAAGAGCGGTGGGTTAGGTAGTATCACATCCGGGTTGGGTGGGGCAGGCAGGGCCAGGCTGAGGGAGGGAACCTGGACGATGCGGGGCCCTCACCTGGCATCCAGGCCTTCGTGGGTCCCTCAGGGGCAGATGGAGGGGAGACTTTCCCTTTAGGAGTTTCTGCAATAGGGAGAATTTAAGGGGGGATGTCAATTTCCTAGGACCAGTGTTTCCCTTCCTCCCCCACCTCCTCCTCCCTCAGACCCAGGAGTCCTGGACCCCAGCCGCCCTCTCCACTTACCCTCTGGTGCCCTCCCTGGCCTGGGGGCTGGAGGTGATTTCCAATGAGGCTGAGGCCTCAGTCCAAAATCTTGGCAAGGTTAGAGGGGCTCGAAGTCTGGGGAGCGCCAGAGGTGCCTGGAGGGGAGGAGATTAAGAAATTTCGCAGATGAGCTGCAGCTGTCAGGCCCAGACAGGGATAACCCAGTGATGGCGGGGATGGGGGGTGGGAGGGGGGGGCGGGCAGTGTGGCAGGGTCTTGCCCTAGTCCATGCTGTTTTTTCCCCCCAACACCTCTGGCTTGCTTAGAACAAACTTTTGTTTGTCTATCCATCCATTCATCCACCCATCCATCCATCCACCCATTTGTCCACCCATCTGACCAACCATTCGACCATCCATCCATCCATCTACCCATCCATTCCCCCTTCTATCTCCCCATCCATCCATCTGTCCGTCTGTCCATCCATCCATCCACTCATTCATTCATTCATTCATTCCTCCCACAAATTTCCCAAGCAGCTACAGTGTGTCCGGCACTGTTCTGGGCTCTGAAGAGTCAGCCAGGAACCAGATAGACTAAAGTCTCTGTCCTCATGCAGCCAACAGTCTACTAAGCAAGAGGCTTAACATGAGTCATCAGTGCACGAACAAGGAAATATCCCAGAGTGTTAGGTGTCCTTCAGAGAACTGAAATAGTGGAGGGGGAGAGTGGGGGCTGATCAGACATGAGGGTGGCTGGGGAAGGCCTCCTGGAGGAGGGGAAAATTGAACAGAAGCCTCAGTGCAAGAAGGATGTGGGCAGAAGGCTGCAGTGGGTGGTGGGCTTGCTGGCTTGTTAGAAGAAGAGCAGGGGGTCCATTGTTGCTGGAAAGGAGTTGAAGGGGTGGTAGGAGGTCAGAGAGGTGGGGAGGGGGTCAGATCCCCAGGCCTTATGGGCTGATGGAGAGGATGTTGGCTTTAATTCTTGGAGTCCTGGGGTCTTGGGGGCTTCTAAGAGGTGAGGGAGGGGATCTGATTCAGGTTACAAATGCCCAATCTTGCCGATTTCATCACAACTCCCGGGGCCCATGCCACGCTTGTCCTTATTCTCCACATGGAGACACTGAGGATGGGAGAGGTCCCCTGTGGCCACAGCGAGGTGCCTGGGTCCCTTTGAATGACGGTGTCAACCCCTAGAGGGGGATTTCTCTGCTGGAGAACAGCACTGTGAGGGAGCATGTCTAGCTGGGGGATTCCTCCAGTGATGAATGGACGAATCCCCTCATGGCAGGGACTGGCATCACGCCCATTTCACAGACGAGGAAATTAAGGATGAATTCTGCAGTCTGGAGCCAGGGGCCTGGGTTCCAGTCCTGCCTGCCTCTCTCACCTTTGAGCTGGGTGACCTTCAGATCTTGGAGCCTCGGTGTACCCCTCTGTATAATAGGGATCATAACAGCATCTACCTTACCAGGTTGTCATGGCAACTAAATATAGCGGGAGTTACACACGCGTGTTAGCTATTCTCATTATGACAGTCACCTTGCTGGGAAGTAGCACACCCGAGGCTCTCTTCTGCCTCGTTTTGAAAAATGACGGAAGAGGAGTTGACTGGAATTTGAATCAGGCCGGGTTCGGGAAAGAGGAAAAGGTCTGCCAGGCGGAGGGCACAGCCTCGGCATAGGTGTGACCCTCTGGCCAGAGGTGCCTGTCATCCTCTGTCCCCCTTCATTGTCCTCAGAGGCTGAGTGCCTCTGAATGTTTCCATTTGTTTTTGGCGGCAGGTTGCGATCTGTTTTTAGCTTCCCTGGCTGGTGTCACCGCCCCTGCCCCCCCTCCCAGCTGGCTCTCTTGTTTGCTGTGGTCGAATAATGTTCCCAGACTTCCTGAGCTGTTTGTTTGAAGACTGCCCAGTATTGATTGGATCTGGTGTGTACTCAGCCTGAGATGTTAACAGAGACTTCTCCCTACCTCCCCGCCCCCTGTACCGCAGGAAGCCAGGGGCTCGGAAGCCGGGGTGGGTGGGGGGAAGAAAAAAAGCAAGGCCAGGGCTCACTTAGAAAATAAGCAGATGATTTTGGGGGTTTTTAAGGTTTCTCCTCTTTCAGGCTGTGTGTTTGGGCAGGTGCAGTCACCTCTCTGAGCTTTTTTCTTCTGGAAAATGAGGAGAGGAACATTTTTGACTTCACAGGGTTGTTGGGAAGACTCATCCCATTGATTCACTCAACACCTATTTATTGAGCACCTACTATGTGTCAGGCACGATTCATATAACAGAGAATAAGGCAAAGTCCTAACCTTCGGGAAGGTGACAACCTGCTAACGGTGACAGAAAACAATAGACCATACACTCTGCCAGCCAGTGCAAAGGACTGAGAGAATGCAGCTGGGCAGGGGCTTGGAGGGACAGGGGCGCTGTTTTCAATAGGGTGGTCAGTGAAGGCCTCCCTGAGAGGATGAGATGAGAAAGTGAGCCTACGGAAAAGAGATACAGGCAGAGAGAACAGCTCGTGCAAAGGCCCTGGGGTAGGGCACACCTGGGATGCTGGAAGGAGAGCCAGAAAGCCAACGAGGGGGGATGAATAAGGAAGAGAAGAGAAGAAGCCATAGAGGTGTGGATGCCAGATGCCACCTCGTAAATGGGTGCAGAGAGCAAGTGCCTGGCCCATACCCCTGAGCACCTGGTCAGACTGGGGACCCCAGGGATGAATGGGACCCAAGTTGCCCACCTCAGACCAGTGCCTGACTCACCACCTTCAGCTGGTATTTGCTTCTCAGACTCTCGGGGGGCAGATCCAGCCGAGGGGGCAGGGGAGGAGGTGACGGGGTCACCTAAGGGAGACAGAGGGTGGGGAGGGGGTTATGAGCTACCATTTTCTTCGCACCTACATGTCCCCCTGCCTGGAGGCCCACCGTTCAGGCACTTTCTAGGCTTTGGAGGTGGAATGGAGAATGAGACAAAGTTCTACCCTCAAGAGGGTTATACTAGAGAAAGCCATAGCCCCAGACCCTAAGGGATGCAAAAGGCCATGCCCCTGGGACCCCCGAATCCTGCCACCAGCCCCCTCCTCCCTCAGACCCTAGGGATTCCAGCTCCAGCTCCCGCCTGGCCCTACCTACCTGCTGCAGCTCCCCTCCGTTGTCATTGCTGTCCTCTGAGTCCTCAGCAGTGGTGCTGGCTTTGAGCTCATGGATAATCACAGCCGCTTGGCCCTTGATCTTGCAGCGGCAGAAGGGGCAGGTCTGGCTGTCTGAGTGCTGCGGGAGTGGGGAGGGAAAGGATCAGGGTCTCCCTGTTCCCCATCAGGTCCCCTGGGACTACAGGGGCCTTTATCCCCAACAGAGTGATGTGGGGAGGACACACAGAGGGAGGGAGATGGAGACAGAGAGGAGGAATTATGAAGAGAGAAAAATGGAGAGACATGCAGGGCAGAAAGGAGGGGCTGGACCAGAGCCCGAGAGAGCCGCGGTGCTGTGTAGGTCTCAGCTGCACAGTAGTGATGCTATGGGCTAGGAATGCCTGAGACACTCAGCTGGGCCATATGTATTCACTGTGGGGAGTCCCACAGACACCCCCCTGCCACCACCACTGGGGCCAGTGTTATGGCTGGGCTAGCCCTTTGGTTCTTTTTTTATGCGGTACGTGGGCCTCTCACTGTTGTGGCCTCTCCCATTGCGGAGCACAGGCTCCGCGGCCGTGGCTCACGGGCCCAGCCGCTCCACGGCGTGTGGGATCCTCCCGGACCAGGGCACGAACCCGCGTCCCCTGCATCGGCAGGCGGACTCTCAACCACTGTGCCACCAGAGAAGCCCGCCCTTCAGTTTTTACTATGACTGCAGGGCGCATCTCAGTATCAACCATCAGGGGACTTTGAAGAACAAGATTTATTACTCACAGGTCCTGGAGGGTACGGGAGCTTGCAGTGGAGGTTACGGGAGGTCGCAGGCAGAGGGAAGGGAGAGAGGCAGGGAGGGAGGCGGACCTGGAGCTCTGCTTTTATTAGGGGCCAAATGGGGTGCCTAGGGTTTCTGGGGTTCATTATTTGTTGGCAAATTTAAAGCAGAAGAGCAAGAATCAGGGTATGGGGAGAGAGAAGCAGGACCACTCCAATGCTCCGTTACTTAGGGCTTTCTAAAGGGAAACTTCAAGAGTTGGGGTGGCTAGTTCCTTATCTAGTTGTTTTTTTTTTTTTTTTTTTTTTTTTTTTTGTTTTTCGCAGGCCTCTCACTGCTGTGGCCTCTCCCGTTGCGGCGCACAGGCTCCGGACGCGCAGGCTCAGCGGCCATGGCTCACGGGCCCAGCCGCTCCGCGGCATGTGGGATCTTCCCGGACCGGGGCATGAACCCGTGTCTCCTGCATCGGCAGGCAGACTCTCAACCACTGCACCACCAGGGAAGCCCTATCTAGTTGTTTTGTTAGTCGCTGTGTCAGGGAGATGGATGTCTTTGTTATGATAAGCTCCGCAATCAGAAGCTTAAGGTCTAACACTTACATCACAATGGAAAACTTAGTATCGGGCACCCATACTCCATAGGGGTTCCCTTTACCCAGAGGCCTGGACCCTCCCTTGGGAGGTCACTACCACCAGCCCCATTCCCCTGAGAAGGCAGCTAAGGCTCAGAGAGGTAAAGCCACTGGCCCCAGATCACCCAGAGAGGGAATGCTACGGGCTAGGAATGCCTTGGCCATATTTACTGTGGTCAGTCCCACAGACACGCCCCTCCCACACCAGGGCCCATGTAGCATCTTCCACTAATAATGTAACTGGAGAAGGAGAAGCAGAGGTGACAGATGCAGAGTGAGACAGAGGCATGAATGGAGCAAGTTTCTCCTCTCCCTGGGCCTCAGTTTCCCCATGTGATCGATGAGGCGTGTGGGCGATCCTCTAGGGGCTCTTACTATAGGGAGGCGGGGACCGGGCGGGAAGGCAGGGCAGGGTCGGACCCACCTGCCAGGTAGCCAGGCAGCGGCTACAGAGCAGGTGCCCGCACGGCTCCACCTTCACGTCCTTGTTGCTCTCGGCACAGATCTTGCAGAGCTCAAACGTGGAGTCCATGGCCCAGTACAGCTGCAGCTGCTCCTGGCAGGCGAGATGGGGATGACGACGACGAGTGGTGATATCAGCCATGGAGATGCAAGTCGGGCCCCAGGAAATAAGTCCCAAACCTCTGCACCGGCCCTGAAGCCTCCCCTAAGTTCAAGGCCGTGTGTCCCAATGCCTCCTACATGTGCTTTTGCTATGGGACTTGTTCTCTGGGGGTGGTCTACGCTCAGGGCTGCCAGATTCAGCCAATAAACATACAGGATGCCCTGTTAAACTTGATTTTCAGATAAACAATGAATACATTTTGAGGTCTAAGTGTGTCCCGAATATTGCTCGGGATATGCTCATACTCAAAATTTTGTTTGTCATGTCTCCTCTCACCCATGGGATGGCTGAAGACTAAAAGCTGACACAGGGGCTGCCTCTAGCGAGTGCGCAAAGTGCATTAGCTGCTCTGATGATCTCAGCGGTATCATTTCCTGGTTTTATTCCCATGAAAAGCCCCGGGGAAGAGGCAGGGGGAGCTATGTTTTCCAGAGGAGGAACAGACAGGCTCAGAGAGGCCAAGTGATGTACCCCAGCTCACGCGGCCTCCAAGCCAGTACAAAACCCCAAGCCCTCTGCGAGTCCAGGGCCTGACTCATGGGAGGGGATCCCTGAGCCATGGTGCAGCGGATGGAGGCGGTGGGCGGTGAGCCGGGGAGGGAGGCCGGGCTTGCGCCTCACCTCCGACACGTGGACACGCTGATGGGGTTTCATCTGGCAGAGTTCGGTCAGGTCCGGGTTGTGGTTCTTCCCATCTGGGTAGAGGTAGCTGGGGGAAGGGAAGAGGGGGTACCGAGGGGCCCTCCAGCACCCCTCACCCCGCCCTGGAACATCTGCCCCAAATACATAGCTGGCCTGGGGATATTTTCCCTCCCTTCTCCTGAAATTGGGATTTTCTAGGGCAAGCTGTGTCCTCTCAGGCCCCCAGGGTAGGGCTGTGTCCCCTCAGACCCCCATAGAAGGACAGACTAAGTGACTCCAGCTCTGGAAACTCCAGATGCGTGAGAACCAGGAAACATCAAACCTCAGGCCCAGGCCTCCCAGAACTTTACCCGTCCTACAGTCTTCAGGTCCCAGCGTAATAGCCTCTTAGTCACAGATTGCGGGAGTGACCAGATCCTAGAGTCTTCGGCCCACACGGCTGGAAGGACCCCCCTAGTCCGTCTACACTATTCTCACTTCACAGAGGGTGACCGGGGCTCAGCGTGGGACAGGCAATGCCCGAGGCCACAGGGTGAGGCCTGGAGGGATGCAGAACCAGGGTTGTGGGCCGGGTCTGAGAGCCTGGCTCCAGGTCAGCCCACAAGAAGGCTCTGCACACCCTGGGTCTCCCGTCCAGGTCATAACTGCAGCCCCAGATCAACTCGGGGCCGCAGGTTCCCCAAGGCCGGTGGCTCTGCCTGGCCAGCCAGGTAAAGCAGTGCAGGCACCCCAGCCTGGGCCCTGGTGCGGCTTCCCACAAACACACTGTGTGACCTGAGCTGGGCAACTCTACCTCTCTGGCCTCAGTTTTCTCTTCTGTGAAATGGACATAATTGTGCCTAAGGCAAAGATGGGTGGTGAGGATTAAGTAAGACAGTGCTCAGAAAACGAGCAGGACTTGCCCCCACACATAAGTACCCAGTGAGAGGGGAACTGCTAGGATCAATGTGCGACCCAGAAAACTGTCTTGCTGGGGGGTAGAAAGAGCTTGGGGTCGCCTGCCCCCTCTCTCTTGATCTTCCCATCTCTAAAATTGTGTGTATGTGTGTGTGTGTGTGTGTGTGTGTGTGTGTGTGTGTGTATACATAGGGTAGGGGGGTTAAACCAGATGGATGGTATTCACACTTATTTTAACTCTGGGAATCCTCCACCGAAATCTGACCTGGAACTTGGTACTTTATGCGTCAGGCACGAGTTCTGAGCCTGGCTGCCTGGCTTCAAATCCCAGTTCATTAGCTCAGGAGCTAATGTGTGACCTGGACAAGTGTCTCTGTCTCTCTGTGCCACAGTGTCCTCAGTTATCAGATAGAGATGATAGTATATGTGTGGGTATGTGTATACATAGATATACGTACACACACACACACACACACACACACACAAAATGGATATTCATTACTCGCAGACTCTGTAATTTGCAGACTTGCCTACTTGCTAAAATGTACATGGAACCTCAAAATCAATACTCCCTGCGGCATTTTCACAGTCATTCATGACCAGGCCCGCGCCCAGCTGAGGAGGAACAAAGCAGCATTTGGCCTTTTCCTTTCAGTTCTCATACTGTAAACGTGTCCTTTTTACAGTCTATTTGGTGCCCCATTTTCCGCGTTTTAATGCTTTTTCTCGGTGACTTGGCTGGCTTAAAGGCCCCCCCAAGCAGAGTGCTGAAGTGCTGTCTCATGTCCTAAGCACAGGAAGGCCGTGATGTACATTATGGAGAAAATACGTGTGGGAGATGAGCTTTGTTCAGGTGAGTTACTGTGCTGCGGGCCGTGAATTCAATGTGAACGTATCGATGATATATCAATGTATTAAATTAGGTGTCTTTAAACAGAAATACACATAGAGGTTATTATGTAGTGACTGGTTGACAAAAATGTGACCAGAATCTTGCAGGAACCTACAGCTTCATTTCCCCCAGGAGCAACGGCTCAGGATTCACTAATTCAGTGTTGGCTGCGATTCTGTAGAACAGAACTACCACAAATAATGAGAAATAATGAGAATCAACTGCATATCTATCTGTCTGTCCGTCTGTCCGTCCGTCCGTCCATCCATCCCTCTACCTAGCTACCTAACTACCTACCTGTCTAATGTATGTATCCATCCATTCTTTCTTTCTCTCTCTCTCTCTCTCTACCTACCTACCTATCTATCTATCTGTCTATCATCATCCGTGTATCTATCCATCATCTATCTCATAGTGTATCATATAGACATGACCGCTAGCTAAGGAGGATCTGGTTAAGTGTCCAGGGTGAGACTTGGGAACCTCACCTACCAATCTTTCCCCTCCCATCCTACCCAAGGCAGATTCCGAAAGAGGGGCCCTGGGGCAGCCAAGATTACAGATTGAAAACCCCAGTCTAGCTTTTTGCCCAGTTCTCCTTCTGCTCTAACAGTCTAAATTCTAGAATAGGATATGGATATCTAGAAACAAAAGCCCTCGAGTGCAAGTCCAAGGAAGGGGACCACTGGGGTTGTGCTCAACTCCCACACACTCCTCGGAGAGCTGCTGCTAGCCCAACAGGGCAGCTTTGTGGGAACTAGAAAAGGTGCCCTTTCCTCTGGATCCTTGTCTGCCACCTGCTGGCACACTGTAGTACTGCAAGTTTATGTTGTCTACTCCGTGAACCCTGTGCCCTCATGCGTGGTGATCTTGGGCAGCGCTCTACATGCATGACCTTTCCAAGCGCATTCTGTTGACACCCTCCGCCTGCTAGGATGGTGACTCACAAGCCTTCCTTTTGTCCTTCCAGGAGTGCCTGGAACAGAGGTTTGTTGACAGGGATGGTCTGCAGGATGTTGCCATCTGAGCTCACGAATCCGATGGCCCACTGCCCCGGGCGAGTGCAGCTGGGCCGGAAGACGTAGCTGGAGGAAGAGGTAGGAAGGGATGGGGTGAGGGAGTGGTCACTGCTGTCCTTTCTAGAACTCGCCGGCCCTTCACCCTGTCGGGGATCCAGGTCTCTAAGTCCTTGCTCCCTTATAAACTTCTAGGCAGTGAGGTGCTAGATAGATCCTTGGCTGCCACTATAGCGAATGTCTGCTGTGTTCACCTGCTTGGCTCCTCCTCCACCTTCACTGGGGTTTAGACAAAGCTGATTCTGTCTTGGCCAACCAGTCCTTTTCAGGACCCCGGCCAGAGTGATGGGAGTCAGCCATGGGACTTTTGCTGGAAGTATTAGGAGTAAGGCACTCCATTTCTATAGGGTTGATAAGCTGGTAGGGTGTAAAGCTGGGGCTTCTAGAAACCATTTGCCACCATGAGGAAAGACTGTGGTTGAGAATGAGGCTAACAAAGAGGAAAGCAGGGGGAGAACAGGAACTGATTTCTGACAATAGCACTTGAGCACCTGGATCCAGCTGTGCCTGAAACCCAAACGTAGTCTTTTCAATTATGGGCATTAATTCATTTCTTTTTCTTTCCCTTTACACCAGTTTGAAGTACAACTGGAAGAGTGCTAATATATACCATCTTGGGGGTCCTGCACCTCAGTCCTGCAAAGACGTAAGAATCTGACATCCGATTCCCTTAACTTCCAGGGAGCTCAGTCCCTCAATTTTTAGCCCTCTAGAGGGATCCCACAGCTCAGAACTCCTGGCCTGAAATACTTTAAGGACTCAGGTGTCTGGTTTCCCAGAAGGTGGGAGGTCATATTTAAAATATTTAACAGATGGTACTGCATGGGCTCTAACCTATCAGAAACAAATCTTATCCTGGGGCGGGGTCTTCAGGCCCCCTTGCCAGACCAGGTATTGTCCCTTTAGCTGCTGGATCGTGGGCAGGTCTAGGTGGTCCCGGGAGAACCTAGGTTGTAGGGGGCACTCAGCATCCTACCTCTGAGTTCTCGACTCTCTGGGGTCCCATGTACTGCGGCCCTTCGGTTCTTACTTTCTGCAGGATGTCTAGGCCATCCAGACACCCCAGCCTAGGACCCAGACCCCTGCACCCTCGGCAGCCTTCTCCTCGAGTCCTGGCCCTTTTACCTGCCTGGCTTGTCTCTGTAGGTCTGCAGACGTGCTCGGACCTCATCGTAAGTGAGGAAGGCCATGTAGCCTGGGTGGTTGACGGCCAGGAGCTGCCAGTTCTTGAGGAGTGTTGGCCATGGCTAAGGTGGGGCAGTGCTTGGGTCAGGGAGTGTCTGCTGAGGAAGCAGCCCACACCCCTAGTGCCTACCAGAGTCCAAGAACCCAGACACCTCCCTCACTCCCAAAGATACTCCCTCAGGAATATATTGGACACAGAAGATTCCAGACCCTTCCTTCTCCAGAACCCAGGAATCTGGCCCCCAGCCCCTCCTCCCCCAGGACCCAAGCGTCTGGGCTTCAGGCACTGGCCTTGCCTGACCTGGAAGAGCCTGGTGAAGATGTCAAACTCGAACATGGACACATGGCCGCTGCAGGTGAGGTCAATAGTGGAGCGCAAGGCCAGGGTGGTGCAGCCAGGCTCCACGGGGTGGCAGAGGCACAGAAGCAGCTCAAACTCAGCCCAGGGCAGCACACACCTAGGGGTAAGGGCGTGGGGGGAGGGGGCTGTAGGCAGAGCCTCTGGGAGGCTAGAATGGGAGCACTTCTGGGAAGGAGGCAACAAGGGGCCTGGGGCCTGGGTCTGAGGGGGGAGGGGCCGGGGGCCTGGATCCTGGGTCTGAGGGGGGAGGGGCCGGGGGCCTGGATCCTGGGTCTGAGGGGAGGGGGTGTCTGGATCCTGGGTCTGAGGGGAGAGGGGCCAGGGGCCTGGGCTCCTGAGTCTGAGGGAGGAGGGGCCGTGGGCCTGGACACCTGGGTCCGTGGGCAGGGGCAGGATGGGGTCCCAGGGGCGGGTGCTCACTCACCGGGCTCCGCAATGGTCTCTCCAGAAAGTGTGGGCCGGGACCTTGGTGAGCTGGTACGTGTGTCCACAGTATTTGCCCCCAGGGAAGAGTGCGCCCAGCTCCGCGCACATGTGGCTGAAGATGAGGGTCAGCTTGGCCAGCTGTCGCCTGCGAGGTTGGGCTCTGAGGACCTGGACTTGACCTTGGGGCCCCCACTGACACCTCCACCCTCTGGCCAGAACACCCACAGGGGTGAGGCCCCCAGAATCTGTCTAGGGTGTCAGTGCAGGATAAAAGTAGATTCCAAGACTGCCTGTTGCAGTGCTGATGCCTCCCCACTCAGAACCTCAGTGTCCCCGTCTGTGAAGGAAAGGGAGGTACCACCTAATATCCAAGGCATCCTCCAGCAAATAAATCCCAGCCTCTGCCTGAAGCCTTGCCTAGCTGGACGTGGGGACCACTAGGGCTGGGGCCATTGAGGGCGGCCTGAGTTCGGAGACTCCCTGTTGTTTTTAGCAGCACTGGGTGGTGGACCCCTGTGCTTCCTCCTGCTGGCTGCCTCCCTGAGGGGCCGTTCAGGACGTGGCGAGCAGTAGAGGGGAGCTCTGACACTTAGTTGTGTGATTTTTGGCAAGTTCCTTTTTCCCTCCCCTGCTAAGCCTCAGTTTCCTCAACTGTGAAATGGGCATAAATACTGGGTAAGTACAGCCTCTGCTTCACAGGGGGAGCGATGAGGATTCTTACCCACCTTACGAGCACCTAAAATGCCAAGCACAACCTAGTATACAGTCGGCACTCAGGGCATGTAAATTACTATTACTGTTCTTATTATTTTATATTAATAACCTCCAGGTCTGTAGGATTCCTGATGCCTTTTTTTTTTTGGCTGCATCGGGTCTTGGTTGTGGTACACGGGATCTTCATTGCAGCACGCAGGCTTCTCTCTAGCTGTGGCGCGCGAGCTCCAGAGCACGTGGGCTTAGTTGCAACATGGCATGTGGGATTCCTAGTCCCCCGACCAGGGATCAAACCCGTGTCCCCTGCATTGGAAGGTGGATTCTTAACCACTGTACCACCAGGGAAGTCCCCCTGATGCCTTTTATAGGGCCACCCTTGACAGTTTCTAAGCACCCTCCCTTCCCAGAGTCTGTAATATAGTCACTATTCACATGTGACTGGTCCAAGTTGAAATGTACTCTAAATGTGAAATACACACTACATTTCAGAAACTTAGCGCAAAAGGAAAAAAAAAAAAAAAGAATGTGAACGATCTCATTAATCATCACCTTATATTGATCATAAGTTGAGATATTGGATATAGTGAGTTAAAGAAAATGTTACTAAAATTTATTTCACCTGTCTAAAAAAACTCTTTGTAATATGTCTACTAGAAAATGAAAAACTACATATGTGGCTTGTATTAGATTTTAGTGGAAAGTCCTGGTCTAGAATCTCCGTCAAAGAGTTGCCAGGACCCTCAACTCTAGAAAATCCACTGAGATACTCACTGAGCCCCTGAGCTTCCTAGTTTCTAGAACCTACTGCATCTAGAACAGTGGTTCTCAGTGGAGTTATACCACCATTCTAAGGAGCTCCTAGAAATTTACTTGAGGCTGGATTGTGGGGACAATCCCCTCCAGTTAGATGTACCCACACCCCACTCAATCTTCCAATGTCCCATCAGACATCTGTGAAGGTGGAAAATCCGTTTCTAATGATCTGAGCTTAGAACCCAGTTCAGTTTCACATAAGCATTTTTTATGGCCACGCCCCGCAGCTTGTGGGATCTTAGTTCTCAGACCAGGGATTGAACCTGCCCTCTTGGCAGTGAAAGCATGGAGTCCTAACCACTGGACCGCCAGGGTATTCCCTACATAAGCATTTTTTGCACTTTGCAAATTGATTTTGAATTTTCCAGAAATTCACTATCCTACGTATCCAGGGAAGTCTGTTTGATTCAGCAATAGTGATTTTTCCCTCCAAGTGCAAGTGTCTGACTCGTCAATTCTACCTTCCAGAATAATTGTAACTATGCCTTGGCACTTTCATTTGAAATATAGATAATTTTATTATGAAGAACATTCCTTTTATCTCCTCCTTATAATACATTTTGGGCATTATAGTGGTTTTTTTTTTTAAAGAATTATGAATAGGTAGGTTATTTACCCTATGTATTTCATTTCAGGATGGATTTAAAGAAACACTACAAAATATGTGCTCTAAAAAAGGGGCGTGGGGGCCTGTTGGGATTGAGAACCGCTGTTCCAAACCTTGTTCTGGGCTCTAGGCCTCAAACCTCTGCCCCTGTCACTCAGCAGCCCTTTCCCCAGAATTCAGAACTGGAGCCGCCAACCTGCAGACAGGCACCAGGTCCTGAGCTAGCTCTTCCTCAGGAACTAAAGAGGCTCTGGGAGTCCCTCAGGCGGGGGCGGTGATGGGGGCTTAAAGAGTACTTTGTCTAGCGATCCTCACGCAGGAAGCTCCCGGGGGTCTCCACATTCCAGGATGTGTGTCTAAATCCTCTGGGAGAGCAGCCCGCTTCTTAGCCAGGAAAGAGGGGGAAATGCGGAGCTCGGTGCCCAGGTGCCCCAGGAAGGAAAAGCCTGGGTGGCCCCGTTTTCCATGTTCCTTCAGGGAGAAGGGCTTGGGACCGGGACCCCTGGGTCCGAGGGAGGAGGGAGCTGGGAGCATGACCTGGGACCCACTCGCGAGCTCACCTTTGTCCTGGCGCAAGGGCTCACCTGAGTCTGGAGCCCTCCCGGAAGAGCTCGTCGTTGGTAGTCTTCCGGCCCCGGGGTGGCAGCAGCGCCGCCACCTGCCTGCTCTTGGCCTCCAGGTTAGCGAGATAGACCACGAGAAAGTCCTTCGCACCACCGGGACCCTCGGGGCCGTCTCCGCCGCCTGCCCGCCGGGCGTGCGCCACCTCGCGCAGCAGCTGCGCGGTGCGGGGCAGCAGGTCCCGCAGCGAGGGGGGACTCGAGGCGAGCCGGGGGTCACCGCATTGCTCTTCCAGGCGCTGCAGCAGCCTCACCGCCCGACCGAACGCTTTGGATTCGCTCCACTGCCGTCCCCGCGGGGCCGCCGCAGCCATGAGTCCCTCCAATGCCGGAGGAGGTGAGCGAGTGGCTGGGAGAGGCGCGGCCTCGCCCAGCCCGAGGTGGGGGCGGGACGGGGCGGGCCAGGTGAGGGCGGGCCCTGGAGAACCCGGGAGGGGACTGCAGGTACCCGTGTGTCCAAAGGGGGCGGGGGCTGGGGACTCTGGCAACTGGGTTCCTTAGAGATGGGGTTCAAACGTCTGATCCCCAAAGAAAAGCCGGATGGGGTGGCTTTGGTGGGTGGCGATAGGACTTCCTGAATGGGTGGGAATCGCAGGTAAGATGCCTGGGCCCCTTCTGGGAAGGGCTGAGGACTGGGTCCCAAGATAGCAGTGGAGGAGGGGTTGGGGGAAACCTAGGACTTTTGTTGGGGGCGAGAGTGGGGCTGGGAGTTTAGCTACCCAGACCCTGAAGGGGATGGGGTTGGAACGTGGCTTTCCTGGGTCGTGGCTCAAAGTTTGGGTCATGGGTCGTGGCATGGGATTAAAGGTCAGAGAGCTGAACTTTCTAGGAGGAAATGTTAGGGAAATATTGTGATCCCTCTGTCCCTGAGAAGGAACACAGCGTGCCCAGACCCGTGGGTCCCCTAAGAGCAGGAGTTGGGAGAAGGGTGTCTGAGGGAGCAGGAATTTGGTGACATAATTCCTGGGTCCCCACAGCAGGGGCCTGCGAAAAATCGGGCTGGAGTTGAGACACCCAGATTTCCAAAGGAGGTGGGGGCTTCTGGGTCCTCAGGGGATGAGGCGGGAAGATGGGGTTCATGAATGCGGAGGCCCAGGCGCGGCTGCTCAGCGCAGGGCTGGAGAGACGTGGTTCTCTCCCCAACCTGCGCCACCTGTAGCATCTCCCCAGCCAGGGCTGTGCGTTGGGCGGCCACGGCGCGGGGGCGTTGTGGGCCGGACCGTCCCTCCGCCCCCAAGGCATCCAGGCCACGCCCCTGGGCGTCCTGGCCACGCCCCGGCCAGGAGACTGGCCAAGTTCTGATTACAAATGTGCACATACCTAGAGAATTTCCAATCAGAGAATAATAGTAATAGCTAACATTTATTAAACATTCACTCTCTGTCGGTCCTTGCGCGTCAGGCTTTACATTTTCTCACTGAATTCTCAAAAACTCTTTGAGGTAGGAGGGGGAGAGGGATGAGAGATGAGGCTCCCATTGCACCCCACCCTCCTCCTCAGCCCCCATCCCCCATCTCTCAGAACCCGAGAATCCTTAACTTGTGGAATCTTCGAATTTACGTCTCAGACTAAGCGAAGACCCGGGCTTTGCCGTCGGGATGGAGGGGTCTGCCTCCCAGCTCCTTGCCTTCCTGCATCCTCTGAGCCTCAGTTTCCACCTCCGCGAAACAGGATGAAAACCCACTGGCCTGGCAAAAATTCAAAGTTTTGATGATACCAAGTGTTGACCAGGAGCTGATGGAAGTGTAAACGGACAAATTAGGTCGGAGAATAACTTGACAGGATCCGTCAAAGCCTTGGCAGGGCAAGGCCATTGCCAGCTACCTCCTTCAGAGCCGTGGCTTGCAAACGCTTTTGCTCACACTGGGACGTTATACACCTGAAACAAACAAGTTTAACAGGGCAATCCTTACCCCGACTGTGTGCATGCGCTCTCGTATCTTCTATTCAATTTAATTGAATTTCATCAAAGGGAAAATTGTGTTTGCAACCCACGAAATTGATTTCACAACCCACTAATGGATCTTGTCGGGCAGGTTGTAAAATACTGCCCTAAGAAACTCCAAGAGACGTGTTCAGGGATGTTAATTGCAGCCTTGTCGGAAATGGAGAAAACTGGGAACAGGGCAAGTGTCCATCATCAGAAGCAATGAATACATTGTGGTATCCGTTCACAAAGGACTCCCACAGAGCAGTTCAAGTGAATGAACTGGACACACATTCCAACAACCTGACTCGTAAAAACATAATGATGAGTGTACTGTGTTGAACAGTACCCCTCCCCCATTTGTGTCCACTGGAACCTATGAATGTGACCTTACTTGGAAATAGTTTTTTTTTAATTTTTTTTAAATTAATTTATTTTATTCATTTATTTTTGGCTGTGTTGGGTGTTCGTTGCTGTGAGCAGGCTTTCTCTAGGTGTGGCAAGCGGAGCTACTCTTCCTTGAAGTGCGTAGGCTTTTCACTGCTGTGGCTTCTCTTGTTGCGGAGCACCGGCTTCTCATTGTGGTGGCTTTTGTTTGTTGCGGGGCACCGGCTCTAGGCGCGCGGGCTTCAGTAGTTGTGGCACGCGGGCTCAGCAGTTGTGGCTCGGGGGCTCTAGAGCGCAGGCTCAGTAGTTGTGGCGTACGGGATTTGTTGCTCTGCAGCATGTGGGATCTTCCCCTACCAGGGCTCGAACCCGTGTCCCCTACAGTGGCAGGAGGATTCTTAACCACTGCGCCACCAGGGAAGCCCAGAAATAGCGTTTTTGTAGGTGTAACCGAGTTAAGATCAGGTCATACTGAATTAGGGTGGTCCCTAAGTCCGATACAACTGGACATTTGGACACAGACACAGGTACACCCACAGGGAGAAAGCCATGGGACGACAGAGGCAGAGATTGGAGTGATGCATGCATAAGCCAAGGATTGCTGGGAAACACCAGAAGCTGGGAAGCGGTAAGGAAGTACCCTCCCCTAGAGCCTTCAGAGAGAGCAGAGCCCTGCCAGCACATTGGTTTGGGGCTCCCAGTCCCCAGAATTTTGAAAGAATAAATTTGTTGTTGTTGTTTTTTTGGCGGTACGCGGGCCTTTCACTGCTGTGGTCTCTCCCGCTGCAGAGCACAGGCTCCGGACGCACAGGCTCAGCGGCCATGGCTCACGGTACCAGCCGCTCCGCGGCATGTGGGATCTTCCTGGTCCTGGGCACAAACCTGTGTCCCCTGCATCGGCAGGCGGACTCCCAACCACTGCGCCACCAGGGAAGCCCAAATTTGTTGTTTTAAGCCGCTGAGTTTGTGGTCCTTTGTTACAGCAGCAACAGGAAATTAATACAATAAGTTAAAAAAAAAAAAAAAAAGCAAGTGCAGAAGGATTAGTACAACACAATGTTGTTTATACCAGGTAAGGAAACCTGCAAAGGGAATTCCCTAGCGGTCCAGTGGTTAGGACTCCGTGCGCTCACTGCCGAGGACCCGGGTTCAATCCCTGGTCAGGGAACTAAGCTCCCACAAGCTGTACAGCGTGGCCAAAAAATAAAGAAAAGAAAAGAAAACCTGCAAAACCAATGCTCTATATTATTGGGGGGATGCATCGTATGTGATAATAGTATGAAACCATGAGTGGTAATGTTGAGCATTAAATGCAGGACATGTCGAAGGAAAAAGATGGACTCTGAGGATACAATGGGACTACGATATCGTTAACGCTTTAATTAAAAAAAAACTGTGCCAAATATGGCAAACTGGTTAAGAGTTCATATAGTTGCAAAGTGGATACAAAAGCAGTGGATGAGGGCTTCCCTGGAGGCGCAGTGGTTAAGAATCCGCCTGCCAATGCAGGGGACATGGGTTCGAGCCCTGGTCCGGGAAGATCCCACATGCCGCGGAGCAACTAAGCCCGTGCGCCACAACTACTGAGCCTGCGCTCCAGAGCCCATGCTCTGCAAGAAGAGAAGCCACCGCAATGAGAAGCCCGTGCACCGCAAAGAAGAGTAGCCCGCTCTCGCTGCAACTAGAGAAAGCCCGCCCGCAGCAAAGAAGACCGAACACAGCCAAAAATAAGTAAATAAAATAAAGAAATTTATTTTAAAAAATCAGTGGATGATAAGAAAAGATACTGAAAAACATTATCAGGGAAATGAAAATCCAAACCACAAGGACATCCCACTTCACACCTGCCAGGAAGGCTATAATCAAAAGGACAGACAATAATAAGTATTGGAGAGGCTGTGGAGAAACTGGAACTCTCAGACAGTGCTGGTGGGGATGTAAAATGGTGCAGCTGCTTTGGAAAACGGTTTGGCAGTTCCTTAAAATGTTAAACATAGAGTCATTGTATGATCCTGGAATTCCATGCCTATGTATATATATCACAGAGAACTAAAAACATATATCCACACAAAGATTTGTGGAAACCACTTAAATGCCTGTCAAATGACAATGGATAAATGGGTAAATTAAACGCAGTGTTCCCATATAATGGAATATTATTTGGCCATTAAAAGGAGTGAAATATTGATACAGGCTACAACGTGGATGAACCTCAAAAGCTTTATGCTAAAGTAAAAGATGCCAGTCACAAAAGACCACATATTGTACGACTCAATTTATATAAAATGTCCAGAATAGGCAAACCTATAGAGACAGGAAGAATATTAGGGATTGCCTAGGGCTGAAGGAAGGGGGTTAGGGGGAAATAGGGAGTGACTACTAACGGGCAGGGGGTTTCTTTTGGGGATGAAGAAATGTTTTAAAATTGATTGTGGTGATGATTTCACAACTCTCTGAATTCACCAAAACCACTGAATTGTACACTTTAAATAGTTGAATTGTAGGCTATATACATTATATTTAATAAAACTGTTTATACAAAGTGGAGGCCGGACCCCAGGGTAGCCACAAGAGGGCGCACTAAGCACAGATTTACCTCCTCCCTTGGGAACTGAGCTTCTCAGGCCCTGCCCGCAGACCCTGGCCACACCTTTGAGAATCTGGCCACGCCCCAAGGTTCTGACCACACCCCAGGATATGGCCTGTCCTTCATCATCCAGGCCACGCCTCTGAAACTTTGCCCACACCCCGAGACCTTAACACACCCTAAAGCCCGTGTCATACCCCAAAGCAGAGTCTGAGGCAGCAAATTCACACTCCCAACTCCGCAAGCTCTGAGCACAGATGCATGCACAGACTTAAATCCTCTTAGAAACACAGAGCCTTAAAACAATGACTTGCAATTTGCAAGCGTCCTTTTCTTTTTTGAAATCATTTTAAACTTATAGAAAAGTTGCAAGAATAGGACAAAGGTTTCTTGTATACCCTTTACCCAGACTCATCAATCGTTAACAATTTGTCAATTTGCT